GAATGGAGAGATGCTGGCCAGCAGGAACAGCATCAGATCCTAACTGTTGTCACCCTCTGTTTGAGCACCCAAAGATGAGTTTTAAGGAGGGCTGGGGGGAGGATTACACATAGTTCTACTGTTATTTGTGGAAATGCATCCCAAATATAAGATGACACATACATGGAAGCCATGGAAATCCAACAGCTGTGCAGTGGAGGCTGTCATCTGGACACTTCAAGAGACTTAATGGGTCTGTATTGAAAGAGAACAGACAGAAAGGGCTTAGATAAACTGAGAAGGGAGTTGGACGTGAAAACAGTTTTTGACTGATACAACAGAGAGGGGAGCCATTTGAGGGATGCAGAGAGAGAGAGAGGGCACAATGTAAAGAAAGGTAGTGGGGAAAAAATACCTTTTGCATGAGTGTTGTGGTCAATTTCTAACCACAGATTCATCACAGGGCAATGAGTCAAGCTATCTAGAACTAATATGACATGTATGGGAGTCATTCCTCAGAGATGTCTGCAGAGACACTACATGGACCTCAACTGTGTCCTCCTTAAAATTCATCCCTGCTGTGATACTAACAGGAAAAGCTCAGCAGTGATTAATCTGGTGGTTTCTAGTCACTGCCTTTTAATATGTTGACCAGTATGATCTCACTGTTACCTTGTGCTTGCATTATTTGTTTCCTCTATAGACCTGTCGGCCCTTAATTTTTATTACAAGGTGTTCAACATAACAATTAAAAAAAAACCCAGAATGCTAACACAATGGGGCTTAGAGGTTGCCAGTTCTGACTTAAAGTACTGCCAGTCCTACCCTCCCCTATTTGTCTTTCTCATTGTGATACACCACCCTTTTCCTCACAGCAACACAACTCTTCTACAGCTGTGCTATAAACTGAATGGGGAAATTGATTTGGCTAGAAACACTGGAGGCAGGAGGAAGTTCTGGATTTCTTTTTGCTGGATCAGTTCCCCCATTTGGTTGGGTGCACAACCCCATCTGGGCTGTGCCAGCACAGTGCAGGGAAAGGGTCAGTACAGGATCAGGGCAGAAAAGGAGGCTGTGGGACATGGCCATCCGTAATCCAGTATTGGCACCAAGTACTTTAAAACGCTACATCACAACTTTACGCAGGGACATCTAGGCATTACCTCTATACAAATAATAAATACCCATAATAAAAGTGTAAATAAATTTTTTTAAAAGTATTCATACTCCCCTAAGAAGAAATTAATCATTCATAAGTGATTGTAGGAAATTCAATCAAATGTTAATAGTCTAAATTAGAAACAAGATTGCAGTTGGTTAGTTCTGGAGTATAGGTCAAGCTGGGCCCAGATTTTCTTTGTCACTCGTGAGAGCCCATATCACACCACACAGTCAGTAGCTATCCAAACCAAAGCCCATTCTTTGTAGAAAAAAATAACAATAATTGTTAGTGGTTCAAGGAACCTCACAGTAACAGACTAGCAGAATGTGAAAGGCAAATGAAAGACTAGGGCAAAGGAAGAGTGTTCAGTTATGCTTTTAAGAGGTGCTTTCAACTCAGTAATAAGCTAAAATAAGTAGGTTTTTGTCCCCTTTAATTTTGAAAAACCTAACATGGGGCTTAAAATAACATTTTTACAATAATAATTTTGTTGTTTGGGCTGTGATTGCTTTTTAAACCTACTATTCATTAAAATATCTGCTTTTTTTTTCCCACTGACTCACTCACTTGGCTATATAAAATTACTGGTGCTTTTGTCATTCCTGTGCCCTGTTGGAACGTCTCAGCAACGTCTGTGTACTCAAATAAAGCAAGTAAGCCTTACTTCGTGCCATGATGTATTCCTTACACAGACAAAATAAAAGGAGAAATCCCAGCCCCACCAAAGTGAACAGAAACAAATCACACCTTAAATTCAGTAGAGTTAAGATTTGACCTCAGTTTTTTTCCCATAGTCAGGAGTGCCAGACTGAGTCCATCTGGAGTGTCACCCCTGGCATTCAGCTTGACTGGTGACATGATACATTCAGCAGAGAGATTTGTGAATATGAACTCTTGGTTCTGAAGTCTAACATAGTGAAAATCAAGAATATATACTTAACTGATCATCAAATAATGTGCCCTTGTTGCAACTTTAAATGCAGTTCTGCAAAGGAGCTTCAGGAATGACACTAAATTAGACAACAACCTGTGCTCCTAATTACATTTCTTGTCACAGTTAACGAGAAAAACAATTCCAACTTCTGAGCTTGCAGGCTCACACTGAGATGTGAGGAACAAACATTAATTCCATTAGCACACATTGCCATCTATAATAAAGCTGTAACAGGCCAAATGCTCTAATTTACGCTCCTGAAACTCTATCTCCCTCCGGTCACGCTGTTGTTACACTTTCAGGATGCCAAGAAGGGAAATGGATCTGGCAATTGTCACTGGTTGGAAGTGCAAACATTTTTTCCCTTAACCACATCGGCTTTGCAGAGTTACCAAGAATATAAAACCGTAAAAGCTTACTTCAGTCATTAAAGAGATCTGACTCACAAAAGAGGAATCAGTGTGTTGAATTAGGAGATGTCAGTTGACATAGTTACTAAACTGATTGCCAGAAGCTGGGAAGTGAGCAACTAGCTTTATTTTTTAAACATTTTTTCCCCTGATTTTCTGCTAATGGCTCTTGCCAGAAGGAAGTTGCTCAGGTAGATGGCTCTTGAAACCTAGTATAGCAGTGTTTGTGGTTTTGGAATAGATGCATACTTTTACTAGTATCATAGGCCACTATCAATTAGATCATCAGATGATAATAATAATAATTTAACATTGTGGTGCCTGAATTGCTGTCTGTGGCGATATCTTAACATCACGCATGCTTTAACTCTCTCTTAACACCATGCATGTTTTAACTGTGGCTCTTGAAAAGATTAATAGAATAGAGCACTGATACTCAAGTTAAAATTAAATGGCAGTAGGAGTCTAAAAAGTACAAGAACATCACTGAGTACTTGAAAATAAGTTCAATTTTAACAAATAAAGAGAAATTACCTATTCAAGCATGGGAAGGGGTAAGAAACTTCCTTTAACGAATGTCTCAGTATGAGACATCACACAGAATAACTAGCCAGAGAATACTTTAAGAAAAAAGAGTCAAGATTCACTTCTCAGGTGATGAAGATGTATAGCTGAGATCTCTAAAAGCTCCTTAGCCTGAGCCTGCTTACATGTATTGCTAACCAAAGCCAAGTCTGAGAAATCACAAACATATGACAATTTTCCTGCCTGCTGTTAGAAACTGTGCCTCATCTCCCAGCAAGTGATCCCATTTGGCTCATACTCAAAGCCTGAAAGAGATCCCAGTTTCCTATAGCTTAATATAATTTGTATGTCAATTCAATGAACAGAGGCATTACAAGAAACGTCCTGGCATGCTTACACCTTTACAAGCGTGCATATATTTTATGCAAACCGAGCAGTAAGGCACAGAGCATGTACTATTTCTGTGCTTTTTACCAGGCTGGCTAGCCCATCCACTCATCACAATGTTGAAAGTGAGTGTTCATATTATACAGTGGTCTTTATTTTGTATGAATACACAGATCCAAGTGCCGAGCAGTATGCACGAATCCTTCACATTACAAATCAGCAAGGAGCTCCCTGAATTTCAGCCAACACTAGATCAAGCCACATGAGGTGAAGGCATGGGTAGTAAGCCGTTACATTTACTTCAGTTTCTCCTATAGTTACTTTATGCCTTTTTAAACTTGCCTTAATTAAATTCATTCTTTAAACTTGTCTTAATTAAATTCATTCTGGAACATAAAAATTGCTCAGTTTCCACTGATCTGGAAATGGCTCTTTTTAGGCCAGCAATCTTTGCCTTGAGGCACTTACTAGAACTAGGATAGGAATCGGTGCTTACAGCTTATAGAGATTGTTTTATTATCATGCTCAGTGAGTTTGCTCAATGAGATTCATACCACACTTCCATTGTGCCAATGTTTGTTTTTTCAAGCAAAAAAGGTTTGTAAATAATGGCCCCAGAGTATTATCTGACAAACCAGTGTTCTGTTTTAAACACAAAAACAACAGATGCTACTTTCCTTATGCATCTAAGTAATTGCAAGGTACTGAGTGGTGCTGCCTTTTACAGTAATCAACAAGATTTGATCTATGACAGTAAGTGCAACTATTTGTAATCACCATGTCTACCTTATGCGATGGTTTATGTTCAGATGCAGAATTCTCTTTGCAGGAAGTAGATCTCACAATGAAATCCAATCAGGAATTACTATCAATGGTACAAGCAACAGTTTCTTGTACTGCTTGTGACACTGGTTGATGAGTACATATGAAGCAGGTAGAGCAACCGGAGCTAACAGCAGCAGGTTTTAAAGGGATCGTGTGAAGAAAGAGCAAAGACCTGGGAATTGGGAGATGTGGATTCTCTTTCAGGGGCTGCAATAAAATTACTGTGTAAGACAAGGCAAGCCATCATATCTATAGTCAAAATTAAGCCAGTTATGCTGAAATATGAAGTGTTGTTTTTAATGTGTCTAATTCAGTGAAGTCATAATCTGTGATAAGAACCCCATGAAACTGTTGTAGAAATTAATAATTAATAATACAAGGAATCATTGAAAAATCAGGCAGGGGGAGTTAGTTGTATTTGGTATACAGGAGAGCTGTTGTTTTTCTAATTCTAACCTATGTTTGTACTTTCCTCTTTATCAAGTCAACGTTTGCAAGCAATAAAAGGGCATTATGTGCTGGTCATTGCATCTGCTTTCGAGATAAATCTATGTTAGCATTCCAAAGGGTGAAGGAACTCTTCCAGGGCAAACAAATTCTGGAGCACTGATGCCAGATGGTGTGTATATAAAGTGGAAAATGAGAAAAGCAATTTACTGTGTTCCTGTTCCAGCGAGAAGTATCACCCAGAAGGACAGCAAAAGAGGTGAGAATACTGAGAAATTGGAGAGACAGTCTTCTTCTATGTAACATGTTGTTTTCTTTATATCTGAAAAGCCTAGGTACATAGAGGAGCTGCAATCCTTATTCAGGCAAAATTATTCCAAAAAGGTAATGGGAATATTTAACTAAAGAGTGAAAGGTTACATTAATAACATGTGTAAAGAATTATGTATTGGTTTATGTAACAGGTTCTAGATTTATATATATAGCTCACCAGTACGTAATCTGTCTTTAGAGACATTTTAGTGGCACAGACAAAATGTTTTTATCTTGATGGATCGGATTCTGAAGTATAAATTAGCATAGCCTCAACAAAGGCAAGTTATCAATGTAATTTATCCAGCTCAGGTGCTGACCAGTACTAGCTCACTTGCAGCTGTATTAAATGTGTAATTTCCAAGTGTACAAAACAACTCTGCAAGTTTTAGAACTAATCAATCTTTTCTTCAAATCTTGTGAAGCAGAGGAATGTCTCTTGGAAGGGTTCAAAGATAAATTCAGGTTGCTGTAAGAAATTTAAAATAATTTTCTTAAATACTGAAAATTATAACATGTTTTCATAAATAGCCTGAACTATTGATGGCTTTTATCACTTGCCGTTGAACCTCAAAAATATGTAGCAGAAGTATAAGTGTTCAGATATAAGCAAAGAGAAAGGGAGAATGTGTGTCCTAATATTTATGTGTGGATCTTTGCTGAGCATATTTTATTTGGTTATATATTTAGCTTTTTTAAAGCAGTCCTTCCTCTTAATGTTATGGCTTCTCCTAGAAATAAACGATATAAATAAAGACTTCTCTCCATACAGAAAAAAGAACCGAACAACAATGCTGAGGTTTGTTGTCACCCTCTTTGCTGTCATAACATCATCTACCTGCCAAAAGTACGGATGTCTGGAAGGGGACACCCACAAACTGAAGCCAAGTCGTGAGCCAAATATGCATGAATGCACTCTGTACTCTAAATGTAAGAGTGGTTTAATTTTTGCCAAATATAGTCTAGAAGTACAGCTTTGTACACACTAATTGTTTTGGCAGTTCCCTTAATTTCTCAAAAATATATAAGATGCAGTATATGTTGCATTTGAAAAGCTTCCTTTATTGGCATTTTGCTGCATGCAAACCAAGAGTAAGATTCTGGTTCTTAACAAAGGCAACTGCAAAACTCTCATTTACTTCATTTATTTTCTTTTAAAAATGCTGATGAAGTTTACTTTTCTTGTAGCTCCATCTGCTTAAAAAAGTTTACAGCAAAGATGAATTTGGTTTATTGTGATTAAGTATAAAAATTAATTAATTGTAGCAGACACCAAATAGGAAAGGTTGAAATCAAAATTCTATAGTGAGCAAAGTATAGTATTTATTATATTTCTTCAACTCTCTTCTTATGTTTGGTAGCTTTCAAAGTTAGTATCCCTCAGGATATAATATCTGGCAGAATACCAGTAAAATTCTTGGGGCTCTCTGGGCAAACCTTGACAAAGCACTGTTGATGCCAGTCCACCTCAGTTAGCATTTACACTGCTACTTCCAAAACCAAAAATGTTACATCTTGAGTACATCTTCTGCTTAGTACTAAGAGACTTCATCATGTTATGAACCAAACAGATTCATCTTTCTTACATTTTGAGTCTTCCAAGTACAGTATTAAAGAAAATCCTTATTACAAGATCTCTTGTTTCATTCCTAACAGCTTCCTGTTGCTATGTAGACTTCACAGAGCAATTGGCTCATTCCCCAGTAATTAAAGTAAACAACAGCTACTGGAACAGATGTGGGCAGCTCAGTAAATCGTAAGTCAGCTTTGATGTTGTCTGTGTCCTGGTTCAATAGATCTGTGCTGTAGCAGCCACACAGCTAATGGTAACTCCCCCTGGAGTTGCTGATGGACGGTCCCTGGGTTGCCCTACAAATTATGCCACCCAGCCTGGTTCCCATCATCTTTTCTCTATACCTGACCAACACCTGACTCTTCTTTTTCTCCTCTCACAAAAGCCCGTGAATCCCTAAGTATATATTATTGGTGCAGAAGGATTTATGCCATTTTATCAAGAAAGGGTTACATTTTTTTCAGGTTTGCTTTCAGTATAGAACCAGGTCTAGCAATGCAAAGCAGTCATAAACCCAGTAGGTAACAACCACACCACATCTCTGTAGCTCTCCAAAGCAACCATTACATACCAGTGAGTGTGACCCCTAGTCAATACAGACCAGGCTTCTTCCTTTGTTTAGAAAGCAGGTCAACTAGATTATTAAATCTCGCAAACAAAATGCACAAGAGTCCAGAAATGAAACTTCTGAGTATTTAGAATAAAAAATTCTTGTAGCCCTGTGGGTTTTGTAACCATGAAGAATGTCTTCATAATTAAGATTTTTAGTATCTCATTAGTTGTTAGAGCTGTGAAACATGGCAAGTTATAGAAATAAAAGAATGAAAGTACAAAACAATTAAGCAAAAACAGATGTGCAAAAGTAACAGCTATTGCCTGCCACTCCCAGAAGAGCAGCAACAGTATGCATTTTTAAGTAACTTCAGCTGGGCTGTGGGAAAATCTAAAGATTAGTGAAACCATGAGGCTACAACACAGAAGAAGTTTTGTACTTTAGTTTTAAACTACATTTTATTATTGCCTGGAATCGTTCTTGCCAGGAAAACTCAAGGCCTCAAAAGTTTACAGAAAGCTTACACAAATAGGGCTGAAATATGCATGGAAACATTTGTGCACTCTTTAGCTGGCTATGGTAATTGCACGGTCAGAGTCTGTACACAATGCCAAAGGAATGAGTTTGGAACCTAGACACTAGCAGGGTGAAAGGATGCTTTTCTGTATTTTTCTCCTAATCTGTAGTATTGCATCCACATCAAAGCAGGCCTAGAAAACTGAGGCTATAGCCTTGATGCTAAGAAACAGGCTTATTTGTGGCTTTTCTCACCCACCACAGCTGTGAAGATTTCACAAAGAAAATTGAGTGCTTTTACCGGTGTTCACCACATGCTGCTCACTGGATCCATCCCAATGACACTGCTGCTATTCGGTCTGTTCCACTGTGTCAAAGCTTTTGTGATGACTGGTAGGTTCAGCTTTTTATCAGAGTATTTTTATTTAGCTTTAATATGCCTGTGTTACTAGGGTGTCAAGGAGTATGGGTGGATGAACAGATCTCCCAATCAAGTGGCACTGAAATTTGATGGTGTTGCACCACCTTTATGCCTTTTCTCTTGTTCTGCCTCTTCATTTCTTGTTTGGCATCTCTACTTGTTCCTCTGCTAAGCTACTACCCTCAAAATAATGATACAGGCTGAATGCAGGATGGAGTCACTAAACTCTGGCAGAGTTTAGTGACTCCGTAAGGATGCAGTGCAGTGGCATCAGAACTGCCTGACACGGTGGAGGAGCTCTCACCACGTTGAGAGGCACTAAGCAGTGAGGGCCTGCCCACCCTTAGAAAAGTCCATACCTGTGAGTTAGCATTTATGCAGTTAGCATTTTAAATCTAAATACTTGATCATGATATGATACATTTCTTATATATGTATAAAATCATAGAATGGTTTGGGTTGGAAGGGGCCTTAAAGATCATCTAGTTCCAACCCCCTGCCATGGGCAGGGACACCTTCCACTAGACCAGGTTGCTCAAAGCCCCATCCACCCTGGCCTTGAACACTTCCAGCAATGGGGCATCCACAGCCTCTCTGGGCAACCTGTTCCAGTGCCTCACCACCCTCACAGTGAAGAATGCACTACAGAATCATGAAAGCAGCCACTTTCTGTATGTTTTCAATTAATTCATATAACAAATTAGCTTAATTCCTTAATTTTTCACCCTTGGCCTTTTCTCTTCCCTTCCATCATCCTTCTCTCTAAAATCACTTCTAAAAGCCTGAATCTCAGAGAAACTTGCAGCCAAGTAATGCTAAAAATTTTAATAGCAACGAGCAAGCATAATAGCATTTAATTTTGTTTCCCAAAATATAGCATCAAGGAATCACATTATTTTTTGAGTGCAAGACATGTAGTGGGACAACTGTCTGTCCTTAGTCTTGGCGTAGGAGCATTGTATCCAGGTGGGGTACTGAGATTTTTTCAGTGGTCCATATCCAGCATATATTTCTCCCTCCCTCCTTCCCTCCCTCCCTGTTTTGAGATGTTGGACCTTAAATAATGTCATCACGTGACATATAAATCTCAAGTCAGTACCATATTCATGTTGTGCCTAGTAACTACAGTAACTTGTCCGTATGGTTAAACTGGTGTGAAGCATAGTACAAACAGCACAGGCTGTGTTCGCACTATGGGATTATAACTGCTAGCATCCCTTGAAAGTAATGAACTGTGAATGTCTGAATCCCTTAGGCTGCTCTGAAAATCACAGAAGACTGTTTTAGTACTTCTAAAAATGTTATAAAAGAGCTTTTCTTGGAAGCACGGAAAATACAGAACACACAGTAGCACATGGTCAGGTTCTCCTGCACTGCTCTGTACAGTGCTTTCCCTAGTGGTTACACAACTTGAATGTTATTGACACATGGATCCATTTTCATTCTCATCTTCTCTTCAAGAGCAAAGAAGTCATGTATGCAGTACAGTATTTTGGTAGGATTTGTCTTTAAATATGTCTCCATTGCTTTGTGCCAGAGAAGGAAACAAGAAGTGTAGCTTGGATTTGTAATGGAAGATAGTGAGAAGGGCTGATATATTTCTTAGCTTCCCTAGAGTTTCCTCTAGTGATGAATTTTATTTCTGTGTTAGGAAACTCCATGTGCCTCAGGAACAGATTTGTTATGCACAGTCTTCCTTCCTAAATTTTTGCTAATCTTCTAAACTGAATCCAGATTATTGACCTCCTTCAAGATGAAGACTGAGACCTTGAATTTGCCTCAGTGCTCAGAATCTCAAAGCTCAGAAGCAAATATTACCAAAATTTGAAAACATTTGGATATTAAAGCATTGGAGTTGCCAGTGAGCTTTAGGATAGATCTAACAGGCAAAGTGAAAGAATACCAACATGTAAAACAAATGTATCCCAAAATAAGTAGGACACAAAGTCATCACCAAACTGCTATATCCAGTGAATGTGTAAAGATGAAGGAAAATACACCCTGTAAGTTTAGTTTGCATCTATGAACTGGTTTAAACCAGCTTCAGTATATGTCAGATTTATACCAAAGTGCACATGGTGGGTCAGTATTACATAGCAAAACTCTCAGTGTCCCCTGGGTATTGCCAGAACTTCCAGGTAGACAGCATTTTTAACTTCTGTTGTTGGAAAGTATGGAGGTGTGTGATTGAGAGCTGCTGCACAGGAAAAACTGACCCTTTTCCAGTATAGAGTCTTCTGGCAGAGAGTAGGCTCTACGCTAAACAAATACTGAACAATGATCTGTTGCCCCTGTTGGCATCATAGATGCCTGGCCTGAATCAAAAATGTAATGATGACCCATTACCGTGCATGCTAGTCTGTGTGCCTGCCTAATGCCAATGTCAAACCCATTCCCTCACACTGCTTAAGGCCTGAGGCTAGAAAAGAGCCTGGACAGAATTCCCACTCATTCTGGTGATTTAAAGTAACATTTTTTCATGTTCTATTCACTGGAGTCCCTTTAGCATGCTGTAACACTGCTAGTGATGTGACCTACTTTCTCTACATGCCGTGAGTGTGCCTGCTGCATACTGTATGTCTTTTTGTGGCCAGAAATGTGCAGAGGATTCTGAATGAGCAGTGACTTCATTTAAAAGAAGTTAATCTGCCTAGCTTGGGGCCTTTCTTTTCTTCCTATTGTCTTAGGTTTCCTTGCTCCCACTAGTCCCAAAACTATTGCTTTTGAAAGAGCCCTATGTACAAGCCATTTTCTGATCCACCTGTAAAAGGGCCCTGTGCCCTTTAAAAGAGAAACAGCTACTTAAAAAAAAGGGGGAGGGGGGAAACTTTAAAATAAAAATATCCTGCCCATTGTGCATAGGGAGCTAGTATGTTCAGGGAGGATCTTTTAAGTATTTGGTTATGTTTCTCACAGGTTTTAATTAATGTTTGAAGAAACCACTTATGGGTTTCTGGACAGCAGAAATCATACTTTTCATAAGTCATGATTTTTCATAAACTTAGCTTCATAATTACTTCCATTGGGATAAAGAAAAACTTGTAACAATAGAGTTATGCCTTGCTACCTGCTTATATAACAAACCACAGAGTCAGGCAATAATCATAATTAGGAATCATTTCATCTGACAATTCAATAAATAATAGTGAATAAAAATATAAATACTTTAATAAACATATTTAAGTCAAATTCCTGAGGAAACCAGATGCATAGCATGAATGCCCCAGTTCAGTAAAATTCTGAAATACATATTCATAATTTGAAAAGTATAACTGAAGGTGACACTAATTTCAAAAGAAGCAGTTCTGCTCTCTCCTCAGCCCCAAGGGCTGCTCATTCTTTCCCCTACCCTGTCCCCACCCATGTGTCAGCGGCACTCTCTGAGAGGCTGTGAAGCAACCCTGGTCTGGGAACCCACCAGGCTGAAAAATACTTAGCCAAATAATAAAGGAAACCAAAAAAGGAGACTGTGGGAAGGGCACAACTGCTTTAAGTGTAAGTGCTAGTATTAGGCAGCTCACAGCAGGTATTGGTTGACTTTGCTAGAAAGCAATCAATTTAAGTGCATGCATAAAGTAAAGAACATGCCTGCATGGCTTGAAGAATCAAGGGCTAATTGTTGAATCCGATGCTGGTATGTGGAGAGCTCATAGATAGTGATAACAAAAAGTTTGCATTGATGCTCCTAACTGGTGTGCCTTCAAGCAGGCAAAGGGACTAGTATTAGAGAAACAGCTGTCACTGGGGAGTTACCTCTGTGTGTCTTTCTCAGTCAGGGTACACGCAGCAGCTAACAAACAACAAACCAATTATTCTTATAGTACCTAGTCCCAAATCCAGACATGGCACAAACTGGTAGGATCTGCCTATTAGTGTCACTTTATATTAATTTATCAAATTGCAGCCTATATTTCCAGCAGAGCCCCCACCTCTGACAGCAGATTCATGGATGAACACATTTGAGAAAACATGTCTCCTGCCCTAGACCTGTTTAGTTCAGGCCCTGGTTACCGTCCATCTGTTACTGCTTTTTTTCTCCCACCAAAAAGCCCAGAAAACCTGTGTGAAGGTTCTGCAGATGTGCATGTTCTTACCTTTCTGCATGTGCAAATGTACTGCAGTGTCTAGTTCTTGTAGTTCTGTGACCACATGACAACCTCATATTTCATTTAAAAATGTAAGTCTGAAGCCCTCGTGATATCAAAATAGTTTTGGAACCACGACCCTGAAGAGTAAAAATGACAAATAGAAAATATATCCAAAGGCATTAATTATAAATACCATGCTGAACAACGCTAACTTTTTGAAAGCTGTGCCTCATGGGTTTGGCACTCTCAGTTACTGGTGTGAATAGTCCGCCTGAAGCCATTGAGACTAAATTTAAGTACATGTTAACTGATTTGCAGAAAGTGATCCTTAAGAAAGGTAAAAGCCAAAAAGTAGAACATAAAAAGAAGTAGAAGGAAGGAAATTACGCAGGATAATGGTAAGTCATGAGGGCTCTCATCACATAGACCAGCCAGTTTCATACTGTACTCATTCCAGGCCATTTATAGGCTTTTTTTTACATTACCACTTACAAGTTTAAAATAACTTAAAATTTAAAATTTTAGACCTATACCCTGCAAGACTCTTATCCTTCCTCCTTCACTTCAAGTTTAACTTCTTTGAAAATGTCATTCTAAGGCTGACAGCCTATTAGTTTATATGATTTTGTTGTTTGTGGATTTTCCTTATTTCAGTGCATATTCCTCATAGCAAACCCCTGCCCAGGAAATATCATTCTTCTTTTCCCATATTCATAAATACAAACTTTCCCCACATCTCCTTCAACTGACAGTTCACTCTCAGCGTACCTGTGCTTTGTCACAATATTGAACATCAGTATTCATGAAACTGCCTCCCACACAGTATTTCTTCCATTCAGTAACATCAGCAAACATAACCAAGCAGAAAACACTGCATGAATGAGCATTGCTCCTCAGAACATGAGCCCTTTACTTAAGTCTGTGAGTATAAAACATAGTGGGTGAACTGTTCAGTTTTCATTGGGATTTAGGTCTTCCTGGCCAGCTCAGAGTTTATGGACATGTCAGGCTAAGATAATGTGCACACTTCTTGAAGATCTGTTGCTAAGCTGCACTGTACAACCATACCACGTTACTAGCATAGCCCATGCAGACTTTTTGAGTTGAATCTGAGTCCATTGAAAAAAAAGTGAGAGAAATAACTGTATCTTCCACACTAATCTCCATGAAGGTATGAAGCCTGCAAAGATGATTCCATATGTGTTCATAACTGGCTGACAGACTGGGAATGGGATGAAAGTGGAGAAAACCGCTGTAAGAATAAATGTATTCCATACAGTGAGGTAAGAAAACCTGATCAACTGGAGCAGAAAAAATGGCATTAAGAGTTCTTTTTTTTTTCCTGAATATATGGGTGTAAAATGCAATAGGTGAATTATTTTTACTTCAGTCATTTCAAGCCATACCTACATCACACTTTTTAAGTATATAAATTTTAAAACATTAATATTTATGTAGATCACTTACTCTAAGTATATATACATTTAATTAATCACTATTCATACCACTTGCGAAACAAAAGTAAAAGTTCAGGCAGCACTGATATTTTAACCACAGTGGGGTTTAGAAAGTAAAAGATAAATGAAATTTGTTCATACAACAGAGACACTGAGATGCATTTTATAAGGTTCCTTACATAATGTGGGGCTTTACACACCTCTGTCTTTTTAAAGTGGGACATAAGTTCCCAAATCACGAAGGAAGTTTTAAGGTTTTCTTTCCTGTTAGGCATCTTTGCCCTTTTCTCTATTTTACCTTGTTCTGTTCAAGTCCTTCTCCATCCTCCAAATCTCTCAGTCCTGACATTCTATTTGTCTCCCTTTTGCTCTCCATAGACCTATCATATCTCTGAAGCGTGCCCTCCATTGTGTCTGCCAATGGCTAGGCAGAGCTAACTTTGTTCTCTGTAACTCTGATGGTTCAAGAGCAGCACTGACAAGCTTTCTGAGAGCTCATCCCATCTCTCTGAGAAGGTTTAATGGTTGGGATAACTAATTTTATGAGCAAAAGTGTATAAAATGAGAACTGACAAGACTTACAGGAGCAAGGTTACCTAGTACCTGATCTGCAGACTTTTCAAGACTCAGGTAGGATTTTTTCTAGTGACTCAAGTAAGTTTAGCATCAGGGCAATACAATACAGCTCAAAACTGCTACACTTATTTGAGTATTTTTAATAGTTGAACTTCACTGAGTCCATGAAAACTGTCCAAATCGCAGAAGTAAACGAAATTTAAGTGTAGTGCTTAGGGACTGGTAGTAAGGCTTGCAGAGATCTCAGATTCATTGTTTTGAACTCAATTCAAGTGCATGTACTTCCAGAAGTCAGTTCAGCAGCTGATATAAGTGGAAGTCACAGTCCAGTTAGTGCAGGATTGCTGTCTGCCTTGCAAAAGTGACACTAATCAGCAGGCTCAGGAAGGTGGCCAAAAAACAAATGGGCTGCGGAAACTTACAGCTTAGTTTCCCAGATGTGCTAAATCATCAGTAGTTCCAGATGAAGTGAAAAATGAAATGATAATCTCCGTAAATAATCTCCAGTCCCTGTTCAAACTGTCCCTGGTCCAGAGATAGGAGTTTTTAACCTTGAATTCCCTTGTACTTATTTCTTAAAGAAAATATACCATCTGCAGGGAAAAACATGCAGCAAATCCAGAGGTCTTATCACTTGAAACCAGGCGCAGCTATTCCTAAACTAAATGGAACCACACCCTAAACTGGCCATGTTTTTCACCAAAAATAGGCTTGCATGGTAAGTAAGAATAAAGATGAAGTTTCTTCAGAGAAATTAAAAAAACACATTTCTCATATGAAAATTACATGATATACAAACATTAGACTCACTCGGTTTGGACTCAACTCATGGAAAAGAAAGTTACTGTTACCCAGAAGCACAAAGGGTTCTCCAATGTCAAAGCGCTGTGGACAGATGCTTACTTTCTTTTGATGCCCTCAGCTCATACGGAGGAGCAATCAGCAGCCCTACATTTGACATATGCAAGTGGTTGAAAGGACTATTTGGAACAAACACTGAATATGAAACAAATGCTGAATATTAAGAATGCACAATGGATCATAGCCAGTTTTAGCCTGGCTAAAATGAGGCACATTTTGTCATTGTTCTCCCAGCTGAGTGCTCCCCAAGCAATGTTAATGCACAGATTGGAACATTTTCCAAGAAGCTGAAGAATCAGAATCCTTTGCAGTAATTTAGGGACATGTTTGGTAAATGGGCTGTGAGCACTGTTTGTTTGCTGCAGCATTCTGGCAACACTGATCTTTAAGCAGAGTTAGGAGGAAGGTAAAAGTAAAATTACCAATTTAGCAAGTAGAAGACCATGAATACATGTTACAGAACCTGTGGGACACAAGAACATGATGTAGCCATGTCTCTTGCATACAGACCTACGAAAACCCACGTGACAGCTTTGAATACTTTTTGGAATGGTTAACTAAAAGCCAGTAGGAATCCAGGAACTGTACAGGAGCTGGAAGAAAATGTCTAATGCTGCTTAAAATGCAGAAATAGTGGGAAAGAAACAGCTAAGATCTGCCTGCCCTGAGAACACAAGGAGAGAACTAGATGCAGCAACCTTTCAATTTCTGACCCTACATTGCTCCCAGTGCACTAGCCAACCTCCACATTCCTCTTCCAGCAACTGCAGCATCTGTGGAGTGAGCCCTGGCTAGAGATGATGTGAACTGAAAAGCTATTTTACAGGCTACAGAGTCTTTGGGGCTGTTTGGAATGGACTCTTTATTATTCACGAAGGATAGATTTCTAAGGCAAAAGTGATGGGTATGATTTCTTCTCATTTGCTTTCTTGCACAGTACAGGTCAACATAGTTTTTGCATGTGGGGAGGCAGGGAGACATCTCATAAGAAGAACGTCTTGTGGAAAATAGGTGGAGCAGAAGAAGCTGCAGGACAACAGATGCCCAGTCCCACTTCCACATAATAGACTTAAATCTGTAATCATTCATTTTTTGCACACAAAGCAACTTCCATGCAGAAATCTCCCAGCCACAAAGACAGGGCACCTTCTCTGAGATTTGCAGTGTCAGATCTTTATATGAGCTGGAGATGACGGTAAACCAGCACACCATCCAGAAATTACAGCACTAAGAGAAACACTGTAGGATTAAAGAAGCAGCATCATGTGCAAGGACTACTTGTACTATTACAGATGAAATATGGCTTCTTTTAGAGAGATGCTGGTGACATGGTCAAGGTGAATCAGTCAGCAATGAAACCCAGCAGTCCTGCTGCGTGGCCCACTCTTTCAGTCATTAACACTCCCACTCCTTAATTCCCAAGGCTTCTACTCCTGCCATCACTCCCACCCCCAACTTCATTCTTAGCTTTGCTTCTGGGGGTAAACCTAAAGCTTCCTTTACAGAATCAGAGAAGATTGAACTTCAACCACAAACACATGGGAGAAATGCAGGCAAGATAAAGTGTATATCCTGCTTACTTTGTGGCTGGACATGGTAACTCCTAAGCTAATACTCTTTAGGCAAACTCAAGCTGGGCGGACAGAAGGTTGTCACAACGTGAGCTTAGCAAACAAGAAATATCTTTGTTGTATGGTTGTACAGGTCCTATGACACAGGCCTTACAGAACAAGGTAGTACCAAGAACAGGTCAGATTTACTTGGAGAGAGTACAAGAGGCTGCAGTTTACAGTTTCTTGACCCAGAAAGGCTGTTGCACCACTGCACACAGCACTTTGGAAGCTTGAAGAAAATTTACTTTCTTCAAGCAGTTTCTGTGTCTCTTCTCTTTGTCTGTGAGGTCCTGCCCGGTCATGATGTACATTGCAGCAGGCAAAATGAGATCCCACGGAGCTGTGACTTCCCTGGGCTGTCTCCAACCTGTAGATACAAAGATTCCCATACTCGAAGCACTGCGTGGCACTTTCAGCACTACTCAGATGCCGAGACATGTCAGAGTGTCCTGACATGCTACAAGTTGTACATCCTCTCACACACAGCTTTGGTCTGTCAGACCCAGAAACCTAGGTGGGCTGTTGGCCCCAGGGTGGAAACAAAGAGCTGGCTGTTGATCACTTTGCACTTTGTATAATCACTTGCTCTCACAACAGGCAAATCTCTTTTGCCAGTTGTGGGACTGGATAACATTTTAAGATATCTCAGAAGTGATGAAGCATGGCACACAGACAGACAGTGAGTAACTCCAGACTGCTTTTTTTATAATCTAGTACCAATTTTTAAGAATTGATAAATGTTTATCAATTTGATACAGACTGATTTTAACTCAATTCTTTTTAAATGTAATTGATGCATTTCTTATTTGACACACAGATGTATGCAAATGGGACTGACATGTGCCAGAATATGTGGGGGGAGTCATTTAAGGTGAGTGAATCCTCCTGCCTCTGCTTGCAAATGAACAAGAAGGACATGATGGCAATCAAGTATCTCCTCTCCGAAAGCTCAGAGGAAAGCTCCAGCATCAGCAGCAGCGAGGAACATGCCTGCCAAAAGAAACTCTTGAAGTTTGAGAAACTAAGGGGAGAGGAAGGGGAACAGACAAGATAAATGCTGGTGGATGTATGTCAGGACAAGAGAAGTCATCGTGGAGGCTGGGCTCAGGGCATCACGCCAGCCTGCTTTATGCCTTACTTCCTGGAACATAATAAATCAATGGCTGGTTATATTAATCTTTCTCTGATGTTTTTGCATCTGCATCACAAAGCTCCCAGACAGGTTAGCACAGGTGTAATCCTGTGACTTGAACTGAACAGCTAGAAGCCCGGAGGTAACATCTAGGGGTTGACTTTCAAAGAGAGGCACAGGCAGCTCCTGCTGACTTAAGGTGGAACAGTGAGAACTACAGACCTCTGGAAGGCTATGCCAGTAATGCACCAAATCTTCAACCCAAACCCTTCATTAGCACAGGCACACAGCACTCCTGTTATGAGTTTCTGTGTGCCTAGCTCTGCTCAGACAAAGAAGAAATATTGCAGGCAGAAATAGGTCAGTGAGCCTGGCTACTGACCACTGAAAATGTATTTATTTTGTAACTCAAAAACATTCTTGCAAAACAGGGGATTGTGGTGTACTAGATAAATCCCTGGATCCATATATTACCAGTATACAGTATGCACAGTCTGCTGCACTGGGCTTTTACCTTAAACAACAGCAGTACAAAAGTCTCCTACAATATGAATTTGAAGCATAATTTTGAGTGCAATTAATCCTACTGAATGATTCCAAACAGAATGATCTCTGACAAACAGAGGTGTCAGTGAGGGCCCCACTCAGGTTTCTCCCATCAGTAATTCTCCTTCCCAGAATCACTGTTACAAAGTAAAACTAAAATCTGTACCAGTCCCAGAGGGACTCATCAGGTAAAGATGAATTAAATTCTGCTTTCAGTTATGCATCCATACTCCCTCTGACATCACTGTAGAGTGGACAGGTCTGTGCCATTCTGTACAGCCTTTCATAGTGGTATCACCAGGGAAACCGTGAGAAGGATCTTTGGGGGGGTTCAGATTATCAAATTGTGAAAATCAGCATCATCTCAGTGCTTGCTATATGGCTAGGGATCTTACAGCATTTAAGGATCTGGTCCACAGTTAAAACAATGACTTGGCACATCCTGTTAAACTAGGAGAATCTTAAAAATCCAGCACACTTTCTTCATTGGGCTGTTTATTTATTGGAATGGTTTCACACAGCTGCAACAGTAATGCTAAACCCATTAGGCCATGATCTGCTTCAAACCAGCTTCCCAGTATATTTAACAATGGACTAATTCCTACCAGCACTGAATTGTTTTTAGAATGACTCTTTGCCACATCTGTATTTTGTGCTAACTCAATTTGTCAGTTCTACTGTTTGAAAAGAAAGAACAAGAATTTGGTCTTCTGTAAAGCTCTGACAGTCCTTTTCCCCCCTATTTCACCAACTCTGTTCTTTCCTGTCCTTCTTTATTGCACCTGAATCAGAGCAGAAATTTTCCTGCTTTTTATTTTGCTGTGCTCAAAATTCGATAATTAATTACCCCCTCTCACTGCCATAACACCAACTTTTTTCTGTATCACCATGGCCAAAGATTTCCTTCATCTTTTTTGTTAAGTATAGCAGTATAGCACAATTGTTTCTGCCTATGTCTCTGCTCTTTTTCTTCCCATTCCACTTTATTCTTTTTGCTCTGGCTAAATTACTCTTGAAACTACTCTCAACAAACAATCCTTCCATGCTTAGTTTCAGGATGACCCATGAGACTGGTTATTGCATGCTCTTGAACAGCACTGGATCTTACAGCAGCTAAGGGACCAAGACCATTTAGCTCCTATTCATAACTTTCCCACTGACTCATGATGTACCCTAAGCAAACCACTTAACTCTTTTGTGACCCTAATAATTTTGCAGAGCTACCATATTTCTTCTAGGTCATCTCTTTTCTAAGCCAAAAAGTCAAGAACTACTCAGTTGTCCCTAGCACAGAAATTGTCCCATACCTCTTGGTCGTTCTTTCATTGATCCAGATATGTTTTATTCAAATACAAGTTACCACCCAGAAAGACTTGCAGTCTTGATTTAAAGCTCCAAATAATGGAGAATTGTCCAATGCACCTGATAATTTGTTTCCTCAGTGTTAAAGATTATCCCTAATTTAACGTTTGTTGTTTCAGCTTTCAGCCACTGGTTTTTGCTAAAGCCTGTTGGATTAAAGAGTTCTTGAATGTTCAGCATTGCTTTTTTGCTCAGCAGCATATACACTGCATCAAATTGCTTCTTAGCAATTAGCTCTATCTTAGCTCTCTTTAGTTTACCTATGTCATTATAAGACATTCCCTCTCTCCTTAAATCATACTTATGGTTCTTCCCTGTACCTTCTCCAGTCATGAATATCCTCTCTAAATTGTATAAATCAAAGCCATACTCCATGCCAGTGTTAACGGTGACCAACAGAGAGCGCACCATGTCCCTGCGTCCCTACACACTTCTCCCTAATTGCACTGCCCGTGTCTATAAGAGCGTCTTTCTGATTATTTGCATGCCTCCAGTGCCCATGTGTTATGATCCCTCATTTTTTCTTGGTGTTACTTTTTTCCACTATACAGCTCCCTGGTCCCAGAGGTGTGAACTGTGATCTTAGCTCTTAGGCTTATTGCTTTGAACTTGGTTGTATTACAAAACCTTCTTGTGAATTTACCAACCTTCCTAAGCCACTGTTTGCTCTGTCTAGCTGCTTTATACTCACAGTAATTTACATCTTAGACAATCTCTGTGTCACTCAGAAATGCTATCAGTGGTGATTTTACATTTACAGAAAGGCTAGGATAACTCAGATAAAGCAAAATTAAAAATAACATGAATCACTAAAAATAAGACTACAACAATACACTGGGAAGGTGAACCAGGGAAAAGAAAGATCCAAGCTACTGATGACTGCAGACATCCCCAGCTAATGCTGACTCAATTTGGTAAGTGCCTGGTATGCACCACAGCTCAAAAGCACATGCCCTGCTTCTGGACCCATGCTGGCCCAGACAACTGAAATGTCTCTGTATTTAGTGACACTAGACTCGACTAAGATCTTTATCAAACTGTCACAATGGTAGACCAAATGCTTTGTGAAATATGTCCCTACACTAATCTGTAAGAAACAGACTTAACAACCTTTATCAATAAATTAAATTTGATTTATCAACATGAGAATGTTGATACAATAACAATTACTGCCAATTATTGATTTATTTACGACCTGGCTACGTATCAGCTTTTGTACTGTGCTACTTGGGAGTGGTGTCACGTTAACCAGAACACAGCTAGCTGGGTCATCCTGCTTGTTCTGTTTATTTAATTTTCTTTCCTTAAACATTGGCACCCAGAAGACTATGAGTCTTCTGAAATTTCACTGGAATGCCAGGAGTTATTACAAATGAGATCTCTCTTGACAGTTCTGTTAGAGCTCTTAAGTATAGGTTCAGTATATGAGCCTGATGCTTTAAAATTATTAATGTTACTTATGATGAGGAACCTCATCTTTAATTACTTGCAGACTGAAAAGGATTTCATCATCCTTCTGTAATACAAATATTTCATCCTGCATATACTTTGATACTAAGCATTATTAACAAAACTTGCTCACTGTATCTGGTGCCATTGCAAGGCTTTCTTCATCAGGTTGCTCAGTTGTTTTCACCTTCAGTTTAGTTGTGCCAGCCACAATTTCCTGTAGTACCTTTAGAGTCCTCACTCTATTTTTATAGTTCATAATTCTCCATGGATATTGATTGCAATATAGCTTCCTTTTTAAAAAATAATAAGCATCAGTAATTATGACATTTTCAACTTCTGTTGCATTTTTCATGTGCAGGTTTCACTGAGAGCATTTTATAAATATTCATTAATCTTCAAAATATACCTGAGAGGAAAATAAGTAATGAGAAGCAAACTGAGTCAGTGGGAGAGAGTCAGTAAGAGACTTATCTGATCATTGCAAGTATTGCAGAGCTAGGACTAGCACAGACAAGTTCTGTTTCAGAGCCGTATTTCACACTGCAAATGGAGTTGCACTTTGTAAGGTGATCCTTGGACAAACGTTATCATGCAAAAATTATAGAAGAGTTTCTATGAAATAAAATATTGCAAAAACCTAAGCATCCAAAAAATAGAACAAGTTATTAAACAATGCATTTCCATTTACCTTGAAGGATAATGAAATTATAAAAATAGTAATTGGTAGATTATTTAAGACAAATAATGTCAAAACAGGCTAATTTCCCTTGCTGAGACAACCAGCCTGCAGAAGAAGGGAAAGCTGTAGGTGAGATATGGCTTTTTAAGGGTTTTGATAACATTTGATGTAATATTCTGATAAGCAAACTGAGAAAACCAAAGTGCAAACGAAATCACCATAACACAGGTGCACAACTGATTAAAAAATATATTAAAATATTACTATGAGTATGTTGTCATTAAACACAGACAGGTCTTCTATTAGGAATCCCAAAGGGTCTGTTCTGATTCTACTCAACACTTCTGTTTACTCAGACAATGAATTAGAGTTTTTGCAAGCACTCTGAAGGACAAGATTAGAATAAAAATGATCTTTCTAACCAGAGAACTAGTCCAAGCTTCCAAAGGTGAAATTCTGAAAAGGGAGATGAAAAATGCTTGCACTGAGGAAAGGTAAATCAAGGAAAAAATTCATCCAGGGAAACACACAGCAAGGGAACAGCAAAGCAGCCAAGGAGCTGGAATGCATATTAGCAACCTACGCCATTTACAGCTGAAATGTTACACTGTGGAAGTTTTACTCTTTTAAGGCTTCAGTGCATGTCGAGCCCTGGAAGTCCTGACTCACAAAGCAAGCAGATGCAGGACCTGCAGACGTCCTACTAACAGTTACTCAGAGTTTGTGACGTATCTTACATTCCATGGAGGCCCTGCTTCTAGAATGACCCCACCGCACACACAGGCTGTGGAATGTGGTGGGTATCAGGCAGAGTTTAACTCTATCCATCTTCTCAATGAAATCAGCTCACAAGTTCTGTCAACCTAAGTACAATATCTTCTAGGACAGCAAACATGCTCCTGGTATATATCTAATGACTATATAAAGGGAATAAAATTAGTTGAATTTATGCACATTTTCTGGTTATTTTCCTTCCTTTTTTTCTGTTCAAAAAGTTTGCATAAC